CTATAGTAACACCAATATTACGTAAAATTATTAATAATTGCTTTAGTTTCAAAGCCAATATAATTTTCACCTGATACTTATATCTTTAAGACAGTAATCACACAGTGAAACAACCTATGGTCATCACGACTACAGCCAGAGCTCAATTTGAGAAAATATTCATGGACATAGTCGGACCAATCACCACGTCCTATAAAAACTATTCCTACATCCTCACAATACAAGACAACCTAACCAAATATTCACTTGCCATACCAATACCTAGGCACGACGCCAATACAATAACTAAAGAGTTTGTTGAAAAGTTCGTATGTTTCCACGGAGAGCCAAAATCCATCGTAAGCGACCAGGGCTCTGACTTTTTGAGCAAACTGTTTACGTCGTGTTGTAAACTACTAAAGATAGAAAAGTTTCACACCTCTGCAGCGTATCATCCACAAGCGGATGGGGCGCTGGCAGGCACGTAGCCAGGATTTTATTTTTATTTTTTTTGGGGGGGGGGGGGTGTCGAAATAAATGTGTTGCCGCCGCAACATAATATTAATATTTTAATTATCACTGGTCACGGAGGAACAGTTGGTCTCACACACATAGCACTTTATTTGTATTGTTTTATTTTCGTATTGAATGTGTCTTGTGAGTTATATAATATGTAGATTAAACCTTATCGCCCGCCGCCGCGCCGTCTACGCGAATATTATTTAACAAGGCCGCCGTGATGGCTATAACACGATTCCGCAAAGTTTGCGGAATCGTGTTGATTTTAATAGCCACTGATATACATATACGACTCCGCAAATTAAATATATATATACACGATTCCGCATAATTTTAAATTCAACGTTGCCATTCCGAAAACAAAATCTATATTATTGTAAGGGCCGGGCCACACTTGAGTGATTTTGGCGCGCGGTACGCATACGACGGTGGCACCCGATACGCGCGTTAAAATGACGCGTGGTACTCGGGCGATACACGCGCGTTTTTACAGCGCATCAAAATCGCTCCAGTGTACTCGTATAATGAAATAACGATATAACGAAATTTCCGTTGTTACTTGTTAAAATAAGTTTTTTTGGCCAAAGTTTCCGCTGCAACATAACGAATTAAACGTATATGAGATGGTTTCAGCTATATTATTATGCGATAAGATACCTAACGTTCATGCCATCGTTGTTTATAAGATTAAGTATAAAGTATTATATATAAGATAAAGTATTAGATAAATGTCAATTATGTTACACAATATAAACCTATAGCTACAGCCTACAAGTATTATATATAAAAATATAATATACAATTCTTTCCAATATTTTCCCAAATCCTAACATTTACAGGTGAAATCAATTTAGTCAGTGACATACTTCCAATTTGACAACATTAAATAATTCTTTTTAAAAAAATGATCGGTTCGCGTATTGAGTTAATTACTCCCGAGCGAGGGAAAGAGTTAGCTTTAGTAAATTTATATAAACACAGATTTGTTGGTTATCGAAAAAAAGACGGTGCTCTGAAATGGAGGAGTTCAACTTATAAAAATTGTACGGCGATCATTTTTTCTACGCCTGAGAAGATACTTGTTTGCGACGTCTCTGGCAGCCATAACCATGATGCAGATCCTCAATCAAAATTAGATAGGCAAGTTTTGAGAGAAAACTGCAAACGAAAGGCAGAAGAATCTATTTCATGCAGGCCAGTAAAAATTATTAGAACAGAATTACTTAAAACACAATTGGCTATTAAATGTTCAGATATTACATCGGTAAGAAAGGCTATGTACGATAAACGCCGAAAAATAATGTCCACGCTACCCAAATCGCTAAACGAAGCTTTAGAACAGCTAAGAAATTTACAGTTAGACAATAGCTTTATGTACAAAAACCAACAATTTATTCATGCTCCACCAAATGAACAATTTGTTTGTATAACAACGACTAATAATATTTCATTTTTAATAAAAAATTGTACCGAATTATTCGGTGATGGTACGTACATTTGAGTATTGCCCTAAATATTTTATGCAGCTATACACGGGTTAAAAAGTGGATTCTACATGCCGTTAGTATATTGTTTTTTAAAAGACAAAAGTCAAAGTACTTATATTAAAATGTGGCAATTTATGAAAAAAAATTTGTTTTGAAATGACTTCATGCGTATTTAATTTGAAAACACTTCATGTTGACTTCGAATTAGCTGTCCACCAATCAGCAATCATAGTTTTCCCTGATGTCATTATAAAAGGATGTAGATTTAATTTAGGACAAGCATGGTGGAGAAAAGTAAGAACTTTGTAATAATTTTAATTAATTTAACAATTTTTATACTTCAGATTTTTCAATCAAATATTATTTTTTAGATCCAAAGCAAGAAATCTTTAAGAGAAGCCTATACTACAGCAAATAATGATCTTGGAAAGTGGTTAAAACATTTTTTTGGTTTACTATTTCTATCAAGCAATGATGTTGAAGATGCATTTGCAGATTTAATAAGTACATGTCCTGATGAGTCTGGTTTTTTATTTTCTGGTTATGTTTTAAACAATTATATTGAAAAAGACTGTCCTTTTCCACCACTAATTTGGGCTGAAGAACCATCAAAAAATCCAAGGTAGGTTCTATAATTATTATTTAAACTGTATAATTTTTTTATAATTTTTATAATATTATTATAATGTTATCACAGAACAACAAATGCAGCCGAAAGTTTTCATCGAACATACAATGGCCAATTTTACTACTCACATCCACCCATTTATTCAGTGCTAACAGTCTTATTAGAAACACAGTCCGAAACAGATGTAAAAATATATTCAATTATTTCTAATAATGAAAAAAAGAAAATGACTCTTAGAGAAAATGAACGCATTGAAACCATTATTAGGGCATATGATAAGTATAAATCTTGTAAATCCCAAGATAATTTATTATATTATTTATCACTAACTGGCCATACTTATCAAGGTAAATCATTATAATTCATATTACATATATTAAAATTTTTATTTACATACATCATATATTTTATATATTATTATAACTTTTTTGACTTATATTGATAGCTTTAATTTACCTACTATATCAGCGGTTCCCAAACTTTTTTAGCTCGCGGCGCCCTTTTCGAACTAAAGTTTTCTCAAGGCGCCCTTCCCAAGACATGGCATGAATTTATTTTTAGACCAGGTAAATTTCTACGGCGACGCGGCGCCCCTGAAAAGACATCGCGGCTCACCAGGGCGCCGCGGCGCACAGTTTGGGAACCGCTGTACTATATTATACACCCCATATAATTGACAACTATAATATTTTTATATGTTTTATAATAACAAATGTTTTAAATTGTATAATTAATAGCTGATAATTTTTATAATTTTTATAACTTTTATATGTTTTATAATAACAAATGTTTTAAATTGTATAATTAATAGCTGATAATTTTTATAACTTTTTTTGACTATATAACAACGGAAATAACGACATTATGTTCTATAGACATTTTCGTTAGGTATATCGTTATCAGTCTTGTAAAGTATTCGAATACAAGTATTTGAATAATTGTATTTAAATACTTTTTGAAGTATTTATATGGTATTCTAAAAACAATTTTTTTTATATATTTTTTAAGTATTTTGAATACTTTTTAAAAGTATTTTTACCAAAATTTAAATACTTGTATTAAAATACCATAAAGTCCGTTTTATTAATTTTAATTAATTATTTTTCAAAAACAATTTATATCAATAAAAATAATATTGTTTTCGTTGAAAACTAAAATTAAACTAATATTATGTTTTTTTATAGTAAAAGTAGGTAATAACAATGTTTAAAATTTAAAAAATACCATATTAAATATTTTATAGTTTCTGTATTGGAATAGTATTGGAACTTAGTGAGTATTCGTAAAAAACATTTTTATAATTGTATTTTTAATACTTTTTTATTCAAATACTAGTATTAGCAGTGGCGCCGAACCTATATAGTAAGGGTGGCGACCGCCACCCCTTTTAAATGGGTGGGTGGTGGGTCCTGCTATGCAGGTGGGCAAATATCTAACAGAAGAAATTTGACGGCTAGATACTGAGTGTTCGATAAGTAAATTAGTACTTGGAATCAAAAGTGTAACGACTGTAACGTCTATACACCGTGTCGCTGTATTCCTGTGTATTAATGAAATAGGTAGTATATAGACGTATAGTGAACAGTTTAAATTGTGTTATCTATTATTTTTACATTATCAGTTAGTGGTTTTTCGTACTGTGAAGTGGCTATTTTAGCCAACTTTTTTATTGTAAAAACCAATAATGATATAATTATTATATTGATATAATATATTGATATAAAATTATAAAAAGGTGCTCTGCTGTACAGTAGGTTACAAGTAGGTCACTGTATAATGGATAGTATTAAATTTTAATTCAATGATATAATATCATTGTAGGTATAAGAAAAACGGTTCTGAGCGGAGACGGTATTATGTCAGTCTAGGTATAAGACATATTATATACTTATCTATCGTATTAAAAAAAATTTACCTATAATAAATTCCAAATCAATCATATTACAATATCCATTAGGTACTTATAATGCTTTATACGTCAACAACAAACCCTGATAATATCATAGTCCATACTCCATAGATATATAATGGTGTACCGTCAATTGACCGTAAACAATTTACCGCGCGACAATTGACCGTAAACAATTGATCACAAACCAATTGATCGCAATTGCAATTTACCGCACGATAATTGATTGCAAACTATATAGGTTATTTCAGTGTTATTTTAAGGCCAATATTATTTTTTTGTAACTTTATTCGATCGTTAACGATTAAGTCTTATCTAACATTATACCTACTCGTACCCTATTTTATCAGTCTGTATTTTTCCCTATCTATCTATAGATTATAGATCACCATGAAACACTATGAAAATATATCAGTACTGACACAATCGTCAATCGGTATATACTAATAACTTGAGCTGAAAGTACTGTACATAGAATATGGCTTTAGAGTACGTATTAAGCGAAAAAAATAAGTATATGCTTATTTATCATGGTTTCTTACACGTAAAAGAACGAGAACATGACAATAAAACATACTGGAAATGTTCTGAATACAAAAAAATTCACTGTAAAGGTCGTTTACACGTAGTAGACGACAAAATTACTAAATTTATTGAACATAACAATCACGTTCCAAATGCAGCAAAAATCGAAGCGAAAAAAGTTATTTCAATTTTAAAGAAAAATGCATCACAAACAACTCTCAGCACACATTCAGTTTTAGGAAACGCAGTTATGCAGGTAATTCATATTTTAGTTACATATAGAAATGGAAAAAATAGTTAATTATTCAAATTAAACTAAATTAGGTAACAAGTGCAGTTTCCGCAGAAATGTCGAGTATTAATACATTGAAAAGGACAATTCAACGTGTACGCCAAAAGGAGGAAGCTGCACCAGCTAATCCAAGTAATTTTGAATTTATTATACCAGATCAATATAGATATAACTCCAATGGTGAATTATTTTTAAAATTCGATAGCGGTCCTACTGAATCACGAATTTTAATATTTACAACTCAACAAAATTTAGATTTTATGAGTGAATGTGATAATTGGTTTTGTGACGGAACATTTTCAGTGGCACCCCCCATTTTTGCTCAGTTATATACTATACACGGGGTATGTTATTCCAACGTTATTCCTAGTGTTTACGTATTACTGCCAGATAAAAAAGAAAAAACTTACCGTCACATGTTTGAAATTTTAAAATCACTGAAGAACAATATGTTGGGGGCAACGAGCCACCCAAAAAAAAAATTTACCGAGATAGAGCAGCTAAAATAAAAAAAATTTGTACCAATTATAACAATTATACAAATATTGAAGACTATCTTCGTGGCATTGCATACAATTTTCAATTGCAAATTTAATATTTAGTGTTTTTCATTATTATATACCTACCTTCATGATTTATTATAATATTATATTTATTTATTTTTTATGTTCAATTAAATGTAGGTACCTACAAATATTATCTATTTTAAAAAAAAATATTGAAGATTATAATTTTAAAAGTTAAATTTTTCTCATTTTTATATACTGAACAATATTTTTTAAACATTTTTAATCTAAGACGAAAAATATATTTTTAACCATACATGTAACCAGAGTTGTGCCAAATTTATTAAAATTAAATATATTTATTCAAAATATTTTTATATTACTGAAAATGTTATTTTTCGATCAATTGATGTGCGGTAAATTGCAATTGCGATCAATTGGCTTGCGATCAATAATTTGCGGTAAATTGTCGTGCGGTAAATTGTTTAAGATCAATTGACGTGTATCCATATATAATAGAGTACTTTAAAAGTTTCAAGTACCCACGAATCACAACAAAATAACTAAAATAGTTATTCTAGGTTTTTTTTTATGTAATTTTGTCCAAAGTTGAACTTAAAATGACTATAAAAATTAACTGTGCTTATGTATATTTTAGATTTTTTGGTAACAGAATTTACTACTTACGTGGAATCTTGTTTTAAATTTTCAATCCTTAGATATAAAAGTTGAACATTTTATACATTTTTAACTACAAAATAATTATTCAATTTTAAATTTGATAAATTTTGTCAAAATTCGATCTTTAAATGCTTATAAAAAACAATTGTGCCTATGTATTTTTAATGTTTTTTCATAATATTGTAACAATATATCAGGAGCCTTGTATTCAATTTTTACACTTTTTAGCCCAACAGATAAAACTTTATTGATATTTATAGAATAAAAAACTAAAAAAATGGGAAACTGAAAATGTCAGTAAACAGCTCAAAAAGAGTCAAAATATTTTCAAAATTGTATGGTGTATAAGAAATGCTAATATAAATATTCAGTGAAATTTTCATGAATCTACAGTCATTCGTTTTTGAATTACAACAAAATAAAGAAATCGCTACATGAGAAATCGAGTGAATATATAACGTTGTAAAAATAAAGGTAGATAATCTTATAAGGAATCTTGTATTACATTTTAAAACCTAAGATTTAAAAAGAAAAATTTTTACGAATTCTTAACTCAAAATAATTTGCTAATTTTTGTGATTTTTCCATATTTTATCAATTTTTGAACTTTAAATGCTTATAAAAAAAAACTGTGACTAAGGATTTTTAATGTTTTTTAAATGCCATTGTAACAATATATTAGGAGCCTTGTATTAAATTTTCAAGCTTTTTTAACCAACAAATAAAATTGTATTGATATTTTTAGAAAAAAAACTAAAAAAAATGGAAAATGAAAATGTGCCTAAACAGTTCAAAATAAATCAAAACATTTTGAAAATGTTATCGTGTATAGAAAATGCTAATATAAACATTCAGTCAAAATTTCATGTACCTACGGTCATTTGTTTAAAAGTTGCACCAAAAACCAAAATCGATTTTTTCGAAAACAGATTTTAGTGTAAAAATTCCCATTTTTCCTTAATTTTTATTTTGTTTTTCACGCCGCTTTTGAAAACTACTTTGAAATTTGTCATGGGTATTCATATTTTTTTTAAAAATGTATTTTGTGCTTAATGTTCACTACCGTATAGACTAGTATTTATAAATAACTGACAAAAACTAAATTATTTTAAGTGACTATAATGTCTGAAGTTAACGTTAAGGTATGGCCTAATAATGCCCGCTTAATTTAACGGTTCTGGGTGGGTGGGTGTTTGGTAAATTTTTACTAGTTTGCCACACCATTTTAAATTGAGTTCGGCACCACTGAGTATTAGTATCTTAATACTTTTTCAAAAGTATTTTTTACAAGACTGATCGTTATTTCATTATAGGTACGAGTACACTGGAGCGATTTTGATTCGCTGTAAAAACGCGCGTGTATCGCCCGAGTACCACGCGTCATTTTAACGCGCGTATCGGGTGCCACCGTCGTATGCGTACCGCGCGCCAAAATCACTCAGATGTGGCTCGGCCCTTACAATAATATAGATTTTGTTTTCGGAATGGCAACGTTGCATTTAAAATTATGCGGAGTCGTGTATGTATATCAGTGGCTATTAAAATCAACACGATTCCGCAAAATTTTCGGAATCGTTCTCCACCGTCCGTGATTTAGTCTTGTACCGTACGTTGTTTCGATGTTATCAACTCGTACTTTTCAATATTTGAACAAGTGTTAAACCAAAATTGTGAGCTCAAATCACCACTAATATTATTAGATGTAATTTTACTGCGCTTCTCAGCACTGTGTCTACATTATTGCTCTTTCGATGCTGATCGCCGAAGACATTCTTTTTTTATTAATTTTATTATTGTGAGCCATAAGGGCAATACTTTATCTTTATTATAATTCATATTATACCCTTGTCACTTTGTACAATTTATACTATTATAGCACAGGACCAGCTGTCCAGTCTGCGCTCCACGAATTGTGAGTTTTTTTTATTATTATTTATTTATTTTACGTATTACATTATTTGTTAGGCCAAAAGGGCCGTAGACATTTTATAATCATTTTACTATCGTGCCAAAAGGGCAGCATATTATTTTTATATTTTGTTCAGCCATAAGGGCAGCGCATTATAATATTATTAGAATTTATCATTGTGAATTATTTAAAGTCGTGTACCTATTATACAGAAAATTGCCATCGAAACCCTGTTACCATTTTGTATTAATTGTTTAATTGTATACCTACTGCGTTGCTGTGATTTTTGATATATTTGTATTATTATTATTATTATTGTGTATTATACAGCAACAGCAACTCATTACCCGAAACCGTATTACCATTTTATTATTATTTGTTTTATTGTACCCACACCCACATACATACACACATTAATTGTGTATTAATACACATAATCCACAACAAGCACTACATAGCCGACAGTAATTGCTAGGCGATCCTGACCACTGCTGTTCATTACACCACTACACACCCAGCTAGTCCTCCATAAAATATTTTTCAGACCTAGGTGTTAGTGGCTTAAAAAAAGAGTTTGGTGTCCGGACTCGTATATTATTATTATATACTCCAGCCCGTACAAAATGTTAGTTCAATTTTTATATAATTATTTATTTATATTTATATAATTGTTATTAATTTTAGTTACAATACAATACAAAATACAATCTATTATTATTTAAAATTTTCAACTGATGTAGTGAGGTCTATAATATTAATTTTCTGTTTTGTTGAGCCTTTACATCCAACACTTTGTCTGTAGAGATAGACACTTCCCAATGAACTGGCAGAAGAGCAAGTCCTGTTAAACGCTCATTTCCAGTTTTGTTACGAAGCAATATTTTTAAACGTTTTAGTGTTGAAAATGAGCGTTCAACTGCTGTTGTAGAAACTGGTAGTGTTACCAAGATTTTCAATATGTTTGGTTAAAACTTTGCATCACATGCATCCAAAATATCCATCATTTCAGTGGGTTTTTTTTCTACATTTACCCATTTTTCACACCTCAATAAAAATTCAGAACAAACCACTTTTTCAGATGTACGATCTTCGTAAAATATATTTAAATTTTTAAGTTTTGAAACATTTTCATTTAAGGCAAATTTTGGCAATAGGATTTCAATTGATGGCAAAACCACATTGTTTTGTTTAAAACGGTTTTCCAAATTTAAAATGAAACCGTTTATTGATGGTACAAATATCGATGTTATATAGTATTCTTCCGGTGTGTTACAATCATAATTATCTCTGTGTTTTTGGTTTTTTATAATGCGTGGACATACAATTTCTGAATCAAAATATAGTTTTCTCTATTTATTACCATCTTGAAAAATAGATGAGAATGTTTCAATATAGTTATTTCTTAAATGTTTTAGTTTATTTATAATGTCGTGAGCGTAGTTCATAGCAGATGAAAGGTCACGTGCAGGATTTTGTAGATAATGCGATAACGGAAGCGTAAAGTTTAAAAGATGTTCGCAAACTAACAAAGAAATAATAAAACTACTTTTTTCCACTGCAGCTAAAAATGAAGATACACTTGAGGATACAGAGTGGTTTGTTTCTTGAATATCTTGAAGACTGATTATAATTGGCTAAAGAAGTTCAACAAAAACATTAATAGCATCGTGTCGTTCTACAAAACGCGTTTCACATAGACCAACCTAACGAGTTCTTTTAGATTCAGGAACATACTTTGAAATATTATTTTTAAGAGTATGACCGGCTAAGGCATTGTTTCTAAATAAATTTATAACATCCTTTATAACGCTGAGGCTATTTCTTACACTTGAGATTGATAAAGATGATGAGAGTGCTAAATTCAATCTATGAGCTGCGCAATGTACAAACATTGCTTTTGGATATTTTTGCCATATTCTAGACTGAACCCCATTGAATTCTCCACTCATTTTTCCTGCGCCGTCATATCCTTGCCCAACTAAATTACTCATATCCAAACCTAATAGTTCACACTTTTCCAAAATTAAATTAGCCAAATTTTCTCCAGTAAGATCATAGGCTGGAATAAAACATAAGAAATCTTCACGTAGTTGGTTTTTAAAATTTATATACCTAGCGCACAGAGAAAGTTGTTCTATTCCAGAAACGTCTAAAGTTTCATCACATAAAATTGAAAAACAACCAGATTTGTTTATGGCAGTGACTAATTTTTTTGTTATTAAGTTTCCACATATTTCAATTATTTCATTATCTATAGTCGGACTTAAGTAATTAGCATTTTGTTGACAACTTAATAAATGTTTTTTCAAATTGTTGTCTCCAGAATTAGCCCTAAACCGAAGTAAAGCACGAAATTTACCATCCTTATTTGGTGGTTTTTGAAGTGAGAATGGACCACTGTCGTTATCACCTCTGAGAGGAATTTCTTGCTCACCACAAAAAATTATAGTTTCCATAATAGGTTTGAGAGCTAATCTGTTTTCATTTCGCTGTTGTTTTCTTTGTGAAATTAATTGTGTAGCAACATCATTCATTTTACCATTAACCACATTACTAAAATTATCTACAGCATTTATACAGAATCGATGATAATCCGCTTTAGAATGGGACGTACATTTTTCTATAGCGTCTTTCCATTTAATAAACGGATTGGCAACTAGTGAACCAATATTTTCATGGGATCCTTTTCCTACATAGTCGTTACAAAACAAAACGCAATATTTACAAAATGCCCCGTCAAATACTTTTGAATATGATAACCAATTCCATTTTTGGAACCATTGATATTGAAATTTAAGTTTTTTTCCATTAAATTCACGAACAGGAAAATCATAAGTCGCAGTAGGTACATATAGGAAATTCATAACGTTAGTTTTAAAGAAATCGTTGTTGGAGGTATAATTTTTTTTTTCAAATAATTTTATTGAGACCGTTCCGATATCCATTTTAATTGTACTCACATTTTTTACATCCACAGTTAGGTCAGTTGTGACCGTCGTATTTTCTTCAAGCTCACGTTTCGAGTCATTGTCTAACCGTGGATTCCAGATCCACCATCGGAAAACTCCGTAATTTCCCAGGTCCGACCGTACGCCATCCGGACAATCTCCGGTTCTTTAGTAAAACTCCGGCTAAACTTCTTTGCCACCCACAGTTTGACGTATATCCTCGCCGCTTGGGAGTCCAGTAAGGCTACTACTTCCCTGAGTGCAAACTCTAGTTATATGGCCGGTAACGGAATATCCGTTACTTTGGTTTTCCCCATTGACACCGTTGCAATGGCTGGAGACTCTAACACTACAGTCCATCGATCCGAAAAGCGTTTTCTCAACTCAAACTTTAAGTCCATATCTGAATCTCTCCTCTTACACTTTTCACGTGGATAAGGAATAAGATCCTCGGAAAAATCTTCGGATGTGACCTGACAAATTAACAACTCCTGTGTTAACTCATCTAGTTCCGCGTCACTTGAATGCTGCCCGCAACATTTTTATTGGAAAGATAACTCACCTCGGTGAGATTTTCACTTTTGTACGGAACATTTTCGATCCTTAATGATTTTCCCGACCTCTTGTCCAGCTGGTCCGAACACGTTTCCATCACCGAACCATTTACCCGGTCCGTTGTCACGAACTGTGGTTCCTTTACCGGAACGTCGTTTTCAATGGATTTCCTCCGGTGGCTTGGGCGATTTCTCAGGTGTTTCTCCAGAGGCTCGACGGTTTTCCCCGGACAACTCCTCACTCCAGAGGTTATCTTCGGGTGACCAAAGTTTTTCTCCGGAGGATTTCCATTTTTACAGGATTTCACAGATTTAGAACTCTTTTGTCACGATTTCTTCGGGCCCTTTCCCGAGTCTCCAGTCCGTAACGCTCTGAAGTTCCGTTTCTCGGGTCAGTTATTGTAACTTGTGGTTTCTGTACCGGAACGTTACTCACTGCCCGCGTTGAACTCCGTTGCTTGCCTCTCTTTGGATGATTTTTTCGCCGGTTACTTCCTAGCCAGCCGGGACCCGGCGGTTCCGCCTGTCGTTTTGGCGTTTCCCAACTACGACTTTCTTTTTGAACATGTAGCTTGCAAGTGGTTATGACTACCACATACTCTGCATCCTGCTCCCGAAGATAGTCGTTTCTTCGGATTCAGTATTTGGGATATCTCAGCACTCTCAACTTTTCGTTTATCCAACCATTTTAACTTTGGTGGTAAGCTGGTGTTCACTCTCACCTTATCCGATATTACGGCCTTGCTACCATCCAGAACTTTGGCAAGCGATCGTAATTCGATGAACGATTTCAGTCGCTGTATACGTGCATGAATTCTAAATTCAACACGCAAGAGTCCAATCATTGTCATTACCTCCACTTCTTCTGTCAGACCAAGGTTTAACCTCCGATAGAACTAGTACTTGTGTAGAACGTACTCCCCTAGTGTTTCGGTCTTGGTCTGAGCGGTGCTCAACAATTCTGATTGCAGACTTAACTGCTACTAGTCCCCGTTGAACTTTTCCAATAGTTTGGATCTGAACTCTTTCCATGGCAAGTCCAACGTTCTCATGGTTCCCCACCATGTTCCTGCCTGTGCCTTCAGCCATCTAGCCACGTGAATACCAGTTGATTCAAGTATTGCCACGGATTGGAGCCAAAACCACACTGGGTCTTTCTCCCTTTTACCGGCAAACTCTAGTATCGACTCACGGCCATATTCGACTCATTTTGAGGAATCAGCCGGCTATTCGGGAAATACACACGTTTTCCACCGGAAAAACTACTCCATAACGTTTCCCCATGACATCTGCCGAACACTTCAAGGGACACTCCGAACAGATCACAAAATACTCGGGACATATCACAGGACACTCCGGTCCGATTACCGGAAACTCCGGAAACACTCCGATTTCTCGGGTTTACCCAGGTCAATCTGCTCCTTATGTTAGCCCATCGGCTTTCAAAACTCACACATTGGGTTTTGACCTGAAGACTTTGACTTTCGTCATGGGAAATTTGCTATATCGCTGGTGGATAGTTGGAGGGAATTAACAGAGAATGAGCAACTTGCTTGCTCCACCCGTTCGATCGACCTAAGCTTTTCCTCGGCTAACTCCCTCTCCAAGCGTTCCTCGCTAAGAGTAGCGATTGTCAGTTGCTGCTTAGCGACCATTCCTTCCAGCCTATCTAACATCTGCTCCATGAACTGATTTATCAAACTATTTTCAGAGTTGACCCCATCCTCCTCACTTTGAGCCTCCGATGTTTTTTCTTCCGTTACCTGGGCTGACGTCTCGTCAGTTTCTCCAAACCGTAATGTTCCTGGGTCAATGAGTTCCTTGGTACGGATATACTCCTCATGTATTAAGAGTCTATCAACCTTGGACCCTCCGGTATCAATGCCACGCTTATGTAACTCCCGGTTAATCTTAACAATATTTAATTCACCAATGCATTTCTTGCCCATTATGATTATTAAATTGTAATTACTATTATCTACCTAATTAAAGTATGAAAGATATGAGATTAAAGAAGCTTGGGGTATAGCTAGCCTAACTGTACTTCCCAATCCATAAATAGCCTAAACCAAGTTTAGCGCTGTAGGAATTACCCTAACATTTCGCAAATTTTGCAAAATTGTCCACCTTAGATTGGATAGGCCTTTAGTATTTTATTTAAAATGAAAATTAGAATAAACTGTTAGGAATCGGTATGATTAGGACACTTATTGTAGGTTCTTTTAACCCGATATGTGCTAATTTACTTTAATTTACGTAAAATTATTTTTTATTAAAATTAGCACTTACCTTACTCCTTTTCCGACTGCGCCACTGGTAGATGTTGGAACGGTTTGAATTGAAATACCGATAAGTTTAACCAACGACAAAACTTTTATTTGTACAATTAACAATATAGTCAACAATAACAGATATGTACGATATACTTCGATCAGCGCAACGTTGTCGACGGTTCGGCAAAAGCTGATCACCGCCACCGCCGGCGGCGGCCAGACTGGTTGCCGGCTCGCGGGCGTCGAAGGAGACGCAGAAGACGTTGCGATAACGACCATGACATCGATATATGCATCAACGTAGAAACAAATACTTGATGTACTAGGTTATGAATTATGATAAGTGTTTCTTTAAGGGGCCTGCTCGCGATTTTTCAAATTTTCCGCAATTCTATAAAATTTGAAAATTAAATTTTATATTTTAGTTGCCACCTCAATTATAAGACTTTTCCACTAATCTACTACCCAATACCTATTTAGGGGGGTTGATAGGGTGTATTATATCGGTCAAAACACAGTTTACAGGAAAAACTCTCACACCTCGTAGATTGGTCCGATTTCCGTTTTTTTTGTTTTGTTAGATAGAGGAATATTTTTTACAGGGCGCATTGGACTTCGATTTTTGATTACGTCGCTAAAAACAAAAAATAATACAAAAACTAAAAAGTTGTAAAAATTGATTAAATTCAAACTTGTAACATCAGACTTAGAAAAATAATTTTGAAAATCCAAGTCCAATGCGCCCTGTAAGAAGTCTTCCTCTATCTAACAAAAAAAAAATTACGTACCCCCCTTGATACTACCCCCCTTCTCCTTCAAGAGGAGGCATGTGCGGTCTTCACTCCCAGTGGAGTGGGACCTAGTTGGAAACCAGATGACGCAATCAGACGACAGCAGGGGGAAATGGTGATCGCGTAGAACCACACAAATTTATTTTGCACTGAGTTATGAATCGAACCGATGACTGTGTGAGTCGTAGTCAACTGAGTGACCACTGCGCCACTCTGGCCCATAAATATAATTTAAATATAATTTAAATCAAAATATATAAAAATAGCGAGTTTCGTGTAATTATGGGAGCCGGGAGTGCTCAACGATATTACACGGTCCCAGCAGTCTTTGTTATGTGTAAATATTAGTATTCGTCCCGTAATTACTTATTCGTAAATGCATGTAAGTCTAATAACAATGTACAAGAAGAAGACTTGGAAATTAAACCTCTTTGTTTTTATTACAATTCAATATAGATATTAATTACATATAATACTAATGTGTTTTAATTTACAACAGATTTGCAAATAACAACAAAATAATAATTAATAGGCCCTGGTGTACAACAGATTTACAATTTAATAAAATAATATAATATAGCTGAATTACAATATACATACTCGGAATTCAATAAAATATAATAATATGGCTACTGCACAACATTTTTGCAAACACAATAAAATGTAATATTTTTATTACTCAAAGATGTAGCGTGGAGCTTGACTGGCCAGTGTACTTCTTGTTACAATTATTTCCCACAACAGTACATAATACATACATAAATAATATTTGAACGAATCACATAGAAAATAAATGACACTGCTTGTGATAATGCAGAGCATAATATTCAACAATAAGTTACACAATCGTTACATAATAATAAATTTATACATGATAATATATTTATTTTATACATAATACTCCAATTTTCTTCACTCGCTATTAGGTAGAGTAAACTATTCGTTTATACAATTTAAAAGCTTTATTTTTGCTACATGGAAGATAATAATATATTACTCGCTATAAGGCAAAGCACACTATTAAACAAAATCATAATTTGTCTTATGACTTGGCTGCATATACAAAATTTGCACAAAAAAAGATACAACACGTATATTGAGACGTTTTGTACGTACTGATTGCGTATGCGTGCGTGCGTGTGTGTGTGCATGTGTGATTTATGGTATCGGGGTTCATTATCACATTAAATAATATAGATTTGTTTTGTCCCTGCAATAGTAGGTACGCTGTGCCTTATCTGATACCTATATTTACTGGGTATTATAATGTTGAATATTTTTGTTGACGATTTGCAGATGTATAGGCGTCAGCAGAAATAATAAGCGGATTAAAGCAACCTTAGATGCATTTCACTAAATAAAAATGCCATAGTGAATAA